ACCAGTCTTGAGGCAAATGCTGACTGTGATAAGATAATATCCATAAGCCTACAGGGAAGCCCAGTTAATATCACTATTATTCAAATTTATGCACCAACCACGAATGCCAGTGAGGATGAACTAGAAGAATTCTATCAACTTCTTCAATCTGAAATTGATCAAACATGCAATCAAGATTTATTCATCATTACTGGTGACTGGAATACAAAGGTTGAGAGCAAAGAGGAAGGATCAGTAGTTGGAAAGTATGGCCTGGGTGATAGAAATGATGCTGGAGAATGCATGATAGAATTCTGCAAAAATCAATGATTTGTTCATTTCAAATACCTTCTTTAGACAGCATAAGACGACTATACACATGGACCTCACCAGATGAAATACACAGAAATCAAATTGACTACATCTGCAGAAAGAGATGATGGAAAAGCTCCATATCATCAGTCAAAACAAGGCCAGAGGCAGACTGTGGAATAGACCATCAATTACTCATACTCAAATTCAAACTGAAGCTGAAGAAAATGAAAACAAGTCCACTACAGCCAAAATATGACCTTGAGTATATCCCACCTGAATTTAGAGATCATCTAAAGAATAGATCTGATACATTAAACACTAAAGACCGAAGACCAGAAGAGTCGTGGGATGACATCAAGAACATCATACAGGAAGAAAGCAAAAAGTCATTAAGAAGACAAGAAAGAAGGAAAGGGTCAAAATGGATGTCAGAGGAGACACTGAAACTTGCTCTCCAGAGTAGAGATGCTAAAGCAAATGGAAGAAATGAGGAGGTACCAGAGCTGAACAGAAAACTTAAAAGATCAGCTCGAGAAGATAAAGCCAAATAGTACAACAAAATGTGCAAAGATCTGAAAACCAAAAAGGAAGAACACACTCAGCATTTCTCAAACTGGGGGAACTGAAGAAAAAATTCAAGCCTCAACTTTCATTATTAAAAGATTCTCTGGGCAAATTATTGAATGATGCAGAAAGCATCAAGAGAAGATGGAAGGAATACACAGAGTCACTGTACCAAAAGGTTAATGTTCAA